GGACAAAATTCAGGCCATCCAAGATTGGTCGGAACCCACCAACACCACGGAGGTTCGCTCCTTCATGGGATTGGCCGGGTACTACCAACACTTCATCGATGGATATGCGCGGATCGCCACACCTTTGTAATGACTTCAGTCCCCGAAAGTGCCCTTCCATTTCACCTACGAGGTACGGAGTGTGTTCCGCAAGCTTAAGACGACGATGCTCATGGCTCCCGTTTTGAGCATTTACGGCCCCACCTTGCCTACAAGAGTGACTACGGACACTTCCAGCAACGGTATTGGTGCAGTCTTGGAGCAGCACGATGGCGTAGATTGGCATCCGATTGAGTACTGCAGCCAAAAGGCGCCCCCCATCAATTCGCTTGATGATGCGAGAAAGGAGTTGCTTGCTTTCGTCACGGTACTCAAACAGTGGCCGCATGTCCTCCTCGGGCGTCATAGGTTCACATGGGTGATCGACAATAACCCATTGACCTACTGCAAAACGCAAGACACGGTGAGTAGCATGATCGGGAGATGGATATACTTCATCGACCAGTTCGACTTCACACCAATCGAGCGGCCGATGCTCTTTTGCGAGGAGCTGATCTTTGCGCATTGACGAACCATGCCTTTGACGTCGACAAGGACCTCCATCAACATTTTGTATGAGCATACAAGACGGATGCGGACTACGCCACCCTCTACGAGGAGCTTTCTTTGGATCACCCGTTGGCTAGCCACTACCGCATCGTCGACGTGCACGTGCTTCTCCATTCACAAGGCAAGGACTTGCTATGTGTCCCAAGGGACCGTCGACGATGGACTCACCTCCTTGGCGAATACCATGACTCGCAGCTCGTCGAACACTTCGGAGTCAATCTTACGGTCGCTCGACTTCGTCAATGATTGCATTGGTCCGACGACATCACCGACGCCAGACGGTATTTCGAGTCTTGTGAGGTTTGTCGCCGAAACAAGCCCCGCAATTGCAACCCTTACGGAGAGTTGCGACCGTTGCTGATCCCACGGGAACCCGGAGTGTCCATTGCCATGGACGTCACCGGTCCCTTCCCTCGTGATCGCTTTGGCTATGATAGCATCCTTACGGTCGTTGACCGACTAAGTGAGTACGCACGGTTTCTTCCATGCAAGTATCATGTGACGGCTCCCGAGCTCGCAAGACTCTTTCACACCGTTGGATTTGCGGCCACGGCGTTCCGGAAGTCATCGTTCGCGGCTGCCACACTCGATTCATGTCGGCTTTTTGGACCTCCCTCGTAAAGGAATCCGGCACCGAGATGGAACCGAGTTCGGCTCGGGACCCCCAAACGGACGGGCAAATGGAGCGGGCACATCATGCCGCTCAAATGATGCTCTGTACGCTCATTCGTCCATATCAGAAAGATTGGGTGGACTGCCTCCCCAACATTGAATTCGCCTACAACATTTTGTTGCACCCGGCGATTGGTGCGACTCCATCCGAGTTGCACTACGGTTGCCGGAAAGGTTGTATCTTTGCTGATCTTCTATTCTCTCGAGCAGCCAACATTGACACCTCTTGCTCTCCCGCCGCCGTTCCGAAGTACCAGGACTTGCTGGCCAAAGCCCGTGCAAATATGCAGAAGGCTCAAGTGTGCATGCAACAGCAAGCTGATTGGTGTCGCGTACCATGTCCTATCCGCGCCGGTGACCTTGTATGGGTTTCCTACGAGGAGTTCGCACTTGAACAAGACGTCTCGTGCAAACTCCTCCCCAAGTAGTTTGTACCATGGACCATCAAATCAGCCATGTGCCCATCATTTGTGATCGACATCCCGCTGCATCTACTGGTCCACCCGGTCTTCCACGCCTCTAAGCTGGCTAGGTACACACCAGCCAAGAGCAACGACTTTCCCGACTGGCGATCGCAAGACCCTCCTTCTATGGATGATCATCAGGAGATCGATCGGGTCATCACGCATCGCAAGTATGGCAATAAGCTAATGCAGTAAAAGGTTACCTTCAAGCTATGCGACCGTGACGACACACCATGGATTTCACAAACAGACTTGCAAGCATCAGCCCCGCTTATCTACGCCGACTACAAGAAGCGACGTCTAGCGAAAGAGGCCTTACAACCTGCGCGTCCCACCCAGACTTTGGTCCTGCCCTTTGACAGAGCTTCGCCTCGCCAGTATGCTTGATCTTTAAAGGAGGGGGGGGGGTGGCAAGCACAGTTCCCACACGGGCCCCTTAGGGGTTTTTAGGGAGTCTGTCCAGGGCCTGTTCTAGGGCCCAGCCTCGTTTCAGGGCAGTTATAATGTCCTAGCGCTCTAGGGTCTGCATTAGGGACTCGTTACTGGTCCGGGTTAGGACCAACACAATTCAGGGCCCAGTTAGGCCAGCAAACCAGCCCCTGGCGCAGGACCATTTTGGGTGCCAGGCCGTGCTTTCGTTTCAGAGGCCATTTCAGTTAGGCGCCAGGCCCTTCAGGCCAGTCGAGGTTTAGGCACGAGATGGTGTTTAGGCGCCAGGTTCGGAGGACCAACGATCGAGAGGAAGATTGGACGACCAGTATTCAGAGGCTGAGCAGCTGAGGCCAAACCAGCGCTATATTTAGTTGGGTCCAGCCCCAGTTCAGGTAGGTAGTACATGAGGTAGCTTTTCGGTAGCCTTCAGTAGTCGACTCCCTGGGCGTTGTAGTATTCGAGTAGAGCACTGAGCGCTGATAGAGGTTGACGACGCCGGAGGAAGTAGAGGTTGGCAGAGGCGATGGGACTTATCTGTCGACTTACCTGCAGCGCCATAGCTCCAGCTTCGTCTTCAGCACATCCGCACCTGCATCAAGGTGACACATTTCAGCAGGTTAGTACCTGGCATACATGCAGAGAGCGAGAGAGAGGATTGCTTCTTCTTCTTCTTCCTGTATCTGTTCTCCATCGCTCCTCTTCTTCCCTTTGAAGCTTCTTCTTCTGCTGAGGTACGCACACATGCGCGCGCGCGCAAGAGAGAGAGAGAGAGAGAGAGTTGACATTGCAGCTTGGTGACTTTTGGGCATAGCTGCGGCGCACCAGTGCGCAGTGCGGTGCGGGGCGGTGCGCACTGCGCTGTGCGCTGGAACGACAGCGTGCGCACTGTGCGCCGTGCGGTGTGCGCAGTAC